TCCGATTATATGTAGAGGTTGTTAACTTTACAACCCCTTTTGAATGATGAGAGAAGTGCACACGTTTTCACAAAAAACTGTTGAGGAAATCTCCTTTTTTCCCCATCATGGACTTTCTGCCGTGTCTACAGATCCAGGCAAATTAGAGGTAGATGCAGACGTGCTCATAAATCTTACAAACACTGAGGTAACGTGTTTTAGACTTGTTTACCAAGTGTAATTTGTCAAGAACAGCTAACTCTGTTCCACAGAGAGAGAGCATGGCCTTCTGCTTCAGTAGCTTGCAATAGCCACTAGGGCTTGGACTTCAGTGTGGCATTACTACATCAGGCCATTGCAGGGTTGTTATCAAAGCTGAAACAAGGCAACACAAGGTGGCATGTCAGTATTTTGAGAAACGATATCCTGATGCCTACAATAATTTAAAGTTTTGCAGTTTTAACTTTACACACAAACCTAAATTTTCATCTGTCAGTGTACAGTATATGCTTTAACTGCAACCTACCCAGGGGTGGATCCAGAAAATTTTGGATGGGGTGGCCAGGTTGGGACACAGACTCAGAGAGAGGTGGCACATTTGAATAAATATGACTGACTGAGGTCATTTTTGCAGTAAGAGTCAGTCAAGGGGTCAGTTATGAGAACTTCTTTTACAGCCTGTACACAAAGCTACTGACTTTCTGCATCTTTTAGGGAACAACGCTGCTGTAATCACACTTGAGTAGATTTTCCCCAGAGTCTGATCTGTAAGCATGAGCTGTAGCAGAGGGAGGATAGCAGAACATCACTCTAATAAATAAGAAATTACCTCAGTGCAGCCAGATGCAGCTACCTGATGCAGTAGTAAAGGTTTATGTAGAATGTTAACTGTGTCACAAAACAATGCTGAGATTGCTTTTTATTTTTTCCAGAGAATGGATCTCTTGGGGCAAAATAGTGCTCTTTCTCTCTGAGGTTGCAGTAAATACCTTTATCAACAAGGTAATAAGAAAGTACTAACTTAGATTCCCCAGAAATTTGGCTTCATAACACTGAATATTTATGAGTAGTACCCTCAACACCACACCATTCAGCATGTGGAGAAATCAGGAGCTTGACAGCTCTGCCATGCCAACTTAAGGTTGCTGTGCTATAATCTGTGCTAATTTCAGATCAGTGCATGTTAAATATGTACAGTATTTAATATCATCATTGTTCCATTTCAAACCACCATGAAAAGAAAAAAACAAACACACATACAGTAAATAAAAAAGGGAAAGAACTGCTCCAGTTTTGATAGAAACTGTGCATTTATGAGCTGGTTGAGAAAATATGTTTTCAGGGCTTTTAAAACCAAATGCTAATATTTCTCTTCCAGGCTATTATTTATTCAGAATTCTTTCTTTAACTTGTTAAACTTTACTCATAAGTTAAAATTAAATTTAATTCTACTTTCACTTCTGTTGAGCGTGATGTTAGTTTGCAATATACTTTATTGGAATATTACCTTTAAGGGCTGTTAAATTAAACAGCAGAAGGCTTTCGATGTAACATTATGTTGAATTAGCAGAAGATGAACCACACTTTGATTATGCTGCAGCCGAGCGCACGTTTCTGTGCAAGTGGACTCACAGGGTTATCTAAAATGTGTATGATAATGAGACTGATACCTCCACCTCCTCCACACCACTGCCTCTCTGTCTCACTCTCCCAACAACCCCCCCACCCCTGCCTGCCCTCTCTGTCACATTGGCTCTGCATTGTCATAGAAACAGCTTGCAATCCAAACCCCTCTGCCACATACTGTTGGAGTCCTGAATCGTATTTTTAGACTGGCATAGACAGGGCCGATAATGATGCCAGCCATCAACTATTCCATTACATAACATGGAGAGGAGAGTGTGTGCACATGCAGGGCTTTTTTTTTTTCAACAGCACACACTATACTTTTTCCATATCTAGCAGCCTTACAAGCACACACATTCACAGTAAACACTGCGGTACTGGATGTCATGCGTGGCATCCGTATT